TCAGTTATGGTTTTAGTTTTTAATCAAAATTCTAAATAAATCTTTGTCACGACAGTGAGAAGCTATTTACGGTGGTTTTGCCACGACAGTGGGAAACCATATTAAGGTACGAACCAACAAGCGACAGCTGAGGTAAGACCAGATAGTAAAAACTAGGAATTCAATTTATAAACAGCGAAAGCACTTTAAAAAGGATTAGAATTAGAGATTTTCAAAAGGTAACTTTAACCCCGAACGGGATAGCGAAAGCATACGTTCCGCCTTAGAGTTGCGACTAGCGTCAACAACCATCGTGAGACAAAAGTCTTTAACTCACTATTTTCTTCTTGAACTAAGTTTGAAAACACTTAATACGCCAATAAGTTGTCAAATCCCCGAAGAACAAAATTATTGCATATCGATTCATAAATCCATATCTTAAGTAAAACCTTAGTTCCCTTAGTTTACGCATTTATTATGCCGTTCTTCAACTTGAAACCAAACCGACCTAGCTAAACACCGTAACACCCGATAATACTAGATTGATTACGAGTCCCTGTGGGATCGATATCTATTATTACTACGCGATAGACTGTGCACTTGCAGTTAGATTTGTTAGACATAGAAAGTCGCGATCAATAGCCCCCGACTATAAAGTGATATTATAGATGTGTTTGTTTCCTTTTTAATAGCACTTTCTTTAAAAGCGCTATTAAATTAGGCGATACAAAATATCAATTTTAGCGTAGTGTTGGCGAGGTGACCGAAAGGGGGATTTAGGTATGTGGTGTTACTACGGTATGTGGTGCCCTTTCGGTCACCTCGCCAACACTACGCCAAAATTGATATTTTGTATCGCCTAATTTAATAGCGCTTTTAAAGAAAGTGCTATTAATAAGGAAACAAACACATCTATAATAGCACTTTATAGTCGGGGGCTATTATAGAGTACAGAGAATGTGATTTTAATAGCACTTTGTTAAAAAATTCTATTATTAAACTTCACTAAGATAGCGCTTTCTTTAAAACGCTATTAATATTCTTCACTAAGATAGCGCTTTTAAAGAAAGTGCTATTAAAAAAAACAAAATGTGATTTTGATAGCGCTTTGTAAAAAATGCTATTATTAAACTTTACTAAGATAGTGCTTTTTTTAATACGCTATTAATATTCTTCATTAAGATAGCGCTTTTCAAAAAAAACGATACTAAAAGTTTTACTAAAATAGCACTTTTCAAAAAACACTAGTATTGACTATATTATAAAATTAATAATAAATAATAAAATTAATTAAAAAAACAAAGTGTTTTCCCGGATTGATATTTTGCGTTTTGGGACACAAATTTTTTGCTACTACTGCAAAAAACATAACACGTTCTTCCACTCAGTCATCTTCTTCCTCTAATTTACTCACACCATCGAGCTAGCCTTCCTTCAAAACACGGTATCCACTCACTCATCTTCTTTCTCTAATTTACTCACGCCATCTCCTTCCTTCATTCATCGATTCACCACCGGAAAGAGGAAACACAGTCGATTCAGATTCACCTTGGATTCACCACTCGAATAGAAAGAGGAAACATGGGAAATAAAGAACAAAGAAAACTCATTCTCCGCCAAACTCAGCCCTTCATCAGCTCACCACCGTCACCCTTCTCTTCATTGGTATCTAGTAATCTTTCTTTTCTCATATTATTGCTTTGTGTTGTAAACTGTAAAATTAGGGATTTGAATTTGAAGATAATTTAATTTCTACCATTGTTGACTAATTATAAGAGAATCCCTAATTTTTCCGAGCTTTGCAATATTTTAACCTAAGGTATTATCGAATACACTTTCGAATTTAGGAGAGACAAAACTTGTATGGCAAAAAGATTTATGAATTTTTAGCCATAGGCGTAATATTGTTTACTTTAATTGAAAAATATTAACTAGCATATCACCATTGATTTTGATGATTGGGATTAGTATTGATATGAGGTATTATTGTCAAATTTATAATATGATAGTAGCATCCCTTAGACGGCATTTCTGCGATAAGCATTGAAACGAAACCTGCACCTAACAAGATCTGGTTGGCCAAAACCAAAGATATCATCGGCATGTTATAGAGTTGTTGCAAAACCTGTCAAAACATCAAGTTAATGTCAGGTTTTGTGCATTAAACTCATCTTATATTTGTATTCAATGACATGGAGTTTGATCAAGCTTCTGCAAAATCTTGGGAGACAGATTACCAAGAAATCACTAGGAAGTATAAAGAGAAATGGTATGGTTCTGCTGTGCCTCAGATAGTTTTTTGGAATCTGAGAGACTCGAGAGTGACCCCGGTGCCATCCACTCAGAAAGGAGTGGTCCTGGTGAGTGGATTTTCTAAGAATCTGCTGACATTATTCTTAAATAATGAAGGTGATATAAGTCCTGTAGAAGCCATGGAAGCTGCCATCGCTGGCCTTGAGTATCAGAAACTAGTTGTGCTGGATTAGATTTCTTCTGTAGTTAGCTAGTGTTCTATATAGTGCACAACAATCAACCATGTCATTGATAAATGTTCCTGCAACTTTGTATCTATTGGGAAGTATCAAGTGTTGAAATTAAGAAATTTTGTATTGAATGAAGATATTAAACACTTACATACAGTTTCTTATTGAGTTCCTAATTTTCTAATTATAAACTTGACTAATATTTTATATTTTCTATTTTATCAATCTGTGAATTAACAAAGGATAACCATAACCAATATCCGTTAAGGAAACATGAGTTTGGTCAAGTTCAAGAAAATTTCAATGCTTAGATTTGTACCCTTGAGGAGCTTTCAAATAGATACAGAAAGAAATTGGATATCATAAGGACTTTTTGGATGAATTTTGGTAATCCACCTATCTTCTTAACTATTATATTAAGGTCTTAGACAGTGGTCACTGTTACTATTGCAGTTGCATTGGGAACATTGATATTGCAGTCTTTTTGCATTTAAAACCACAATTGTAGAAAATTTTGACAAAATATCTGATCTACTTTCTTTGGTGAATGAGAAACTTCATGCTTTGTGCATTTGGAATATTTTATAGACAGAGCAAGATCTGCAGCATTAATTTTGGTTTGAGGTACAAATATTCCTGTCGAAGCTTGCTTTGGAAAAAAAAATTTGGCCATTGATAATTGTTTCCATTTCAGTCAAACCTGTCTGAGCTTGTTTATTGTTCAATTATGTGCAATACTGCTGACATTGAATATGTTTCAGTCTCAATTCACTCAAGTTTTATCATGTTTCTAATTTAATTTGATTTCTTTAACATTGATGAATGTTTGCAGCAAGCATTGAAAACCGGTGAATTGTTCCCCTCTCGTCATGGTTTGCCCTTCAATTGCTGATACAACTAAACCAACCACTTCTTCTTGTTATCATCGGATCTTCTGCTGATGCTTCGAACAACCCGTCATGGATCTTGATACGGATTGGTGAGTTTTAGCAGGGTCTGGTCTCTGATTTTTCTAGAAAATCCTTAATGTAACTTCATGATGGTTCATCTATGATTTTCTCAAATTATGATGCTTCGTTCCATTGACAGGGTGCTATTAAACATTCGGCCAATATTCCGCTTACAAAATGTTGAGCATATGATCCCAAGTGAGTAGTTTCAGAAATAGCGTCACACGCAATTTCAGACTGCATTAGCTAATAGTGTGCTTTTTGCAGGGCAGAAGTCTTCGACGGATCAAATTTGTTCATATCAACACGAATGACAATGATGGGGTCTCCTTGGGGTATTGTTGCTTACCGTCATGTTGATGTCCTGTGCTTCTGATGGTGTCTTAAAAATGGCTTCAATCACATTGCTTGGGTGATCCCTTAAGTCGTACACGAAGGTATTGGATTCAAATGAGTTAAGTATCTTGCAAGGTCATTTGGAATATTTTATATGAGTAATGTATTTTGTTTTAGAGCATAACGTTTTTGGTAGGTGTGAATAGTCGAAGAGTAGTTTATTTGAGTTAGAGCCGCCAATTTTACTCTTTGGCTCCCTCTAAAAGATGTTGAGCTAACTCTTGGAGTTGTACACAAATCTATATACACACAAAAATCAATTAAGCTCCATTCTTCCATGCATGCATATGGATATTGCACATTCATAATAGTGATCTTGATCTCATTCGATGCAGTTGCAAGTAGTAGTAGTATTAATGTTACAGTATCCAAAGATGTGAGAAGTGGAAATTATACAAGAGTTGGTGAAACTATCAGGAATGCCCCGGACTTTAGTCAAAAACCTTACACAATCCAGGTTTTAGCCGACATTTATCAAGAGTACATTCTTATTCCATCCACTAAGATTAATATTCACTTTTTGGAGATGGTCCTAACCACACTATCATTCTTGCCAACCAAAATGGTTCAACAATAGGTATGTTTTGTATACCTTCTTGCCTCATCAACTTTTTTCCATCTCTATCTTGCTCATTATTTTTATTCTCTACCAATACTTTATTTTATTTTATAAATCGAAAATCTCTGCTAAAAACATATGTATAAACTAGTTTCTCGTGTTTGAAAATAATCACACTAGACGATAAAGCACTCATAAAAAATTTAATAGAATTGTTCATAGATGAATTTGAATTTAAAATTTCGAATGAAATAGAAAGAGATTTCTCATTATTTCATTTACAGTGCAGACATCCGAGGAGAAGGGTTCATGGCACAAAACATTGGATTTATTAACTCAGCAGGACTAGATGCAAGCGCTGTAGTCGCTGTTCGAAATGAGGCAAACAACAACATTTTCTTTCAATGTTCCATCCAAAGATTCCAAGACCCCTTATGGGCTGTTTCCGGTAGACAATTCTATAAAAACTGTGACATCTACGGTACCGTCGACTTCATATACGGTAATGTTGCTGCTGTATTTCAAGACTGCATGATTTACACACGCTATCGATAGTTTGTGACATTCACCGCTCAGTCACGTGAGAGTCCATAAGAGAAGACAGGTTTCACATTCCAACGTTGTAGTTTTACTATGTCACATGAAGATGTGGAGAGAAAATCAGAGGTGCGTGCTACGTTGGATCGACCATTGAGAAACTATTCGTCAGTGGCTATTTTACAGTGTTACATTGATTCCATGGTGGATCCTAGAGGTTGGGAAGAGATGTCGGGGCAGGGCACTGATAATGTCACCTATGTGGAGTTTGAGAATGTTGGACCTGGGTCAAACATGGATGGTAGAGTGGAATCGCATGGTGTTAGATTTCTTGGCAACCATAATCAAGCACTTGTTTTCACGGCTTCCTATTTCTTGGATGTTGACCCTTGGATTCACACTAGAGGTGTTCCTTATGATAGTGAAATATAATATTTTTCTCTGTCTAAAACTTCTACTTTAAATTTTATGTTAACACAATGGTATTTTAGATTTTTGTTCAATCTCCCTGAAGATAGACTCCAACAGGAAAATGGTAAAATATTTTTCCCTGGAAAGTTGTACAGGGCATTCAGGATAAAAATGGCAAAGTTCTATCTAAGAGATAGTAAGGGTGGTTTTGTTAAACATCGACCGACAAAATATTCTTACTGTATAAAACAAGAGGATTGGGATAAATTTGTAGCTCAGCGTCTGACTGAAAAGTTTCAGGTAATAACTTGTCATTATTTATCTCTATCCATCATGCATACAAATTTTCATAGCAATGTTAACACTTAGCTGCTATTGTACCGATACTTCTCAAATCCTACATACCTCGTAAAACATCGTACATAATGAAAGTTCTTAGAGGAATTGGTGCTAAATAGGTTTGCCATCACAGTTTCTTCCTTTGTTTGTCTGTCATCCCTAACGATCTTGAAGTTGTCTAGAACTAAAATTACCTGTGATTCCTCTAATGAGTCTGAAACGTTGGCACTTAATTTCCCATCTCTCAGAAAGTATGCGACATTAGATTGCACTTGGTCAGGTGTGAAGAGTGTCACTTTACAAGTCCCTCTACTTGAAGTGGTTTCACTAAAGTATACTTTTGTCTCTCGTGATTCACATGTTGAAATTAAGTTTTATGCTTCACAGCTTACAAAATTTTGTTATTCTGGTTTTGTATCGGATACCATTTTGTTAGACACAGACAGTTTAGTATCCGCTGATATTAGTCTATATAATAATGAGAAGAGTGTGCAACAAAATTGAAATGTTTGTTTGTAAACTTCTCAGTATTAATCCAGAAATTCTAAAGCTGTGTGTTTGCATTAAGCAGTTCGTCCTTGTAGGATCGAAACATCATTTTGCAGATATTCCTCCATTTGGAATGTTGAGTTATCTAGAACTAAACATTGTTGCCTGCGAATATTTGTTAAGCATACTCCTAAAGACACCTTGTCTGAAGACTCTAGTTTTAAAGGTGATATATTTTGATGGAATGCTGATGGATTTTGCAAAGAGCTCTTACCTCATCAACGTTTGCGAAGATTAAATTTGCATAATTGCCTATGATCTCCCTGTTGAATGATCAAAATGATCAAAATGATCAAAATGCCTCTCAATGTAGGAGACATCTGAAGCTGCATAATTGCATAATTACCAGAAATGATCATAATCTGCATAATTGCATAATTACCAGAAATGATCATAATCTGTAAAATGATCATAATCTGCGTAATTGCATAATTACCATAAATGATCAAAATGTCTCTCAATGCAGGAGACATCTGAAGTTGTTACTGCAACGAGAGTACCATTACTCCTAGCTTCCATACATGCTTTTGTTATTGTTTTAATAGTAAAATATTTCATTGTTAATGTCCTACAAGTATGAAATTCCATTGGATTCTAGTTATGTACTTTCATATTTTCCTCTCTGCATAATTAATCAAAACTCACAGGTATAAAACAGTAACACTACTACTAATGTCTTATAGTGCTTTTTGTAACACCCCCTTTCTATACCCCAAATAATTCAAATAATCATTTAGGCACAAAATAAAAATTCCATCAGAGTATAATTGCATACATGGCATAAAATAGGTATGTCACATTATTCATGAAATTAAAACATACAACAGTTGCTCAACATTTGATATGCAACAGTGGGGTAACTTTGCAACGCAGGAACGTAGTCCTTACAAATATCTTCTGCAACTAGCTTCTAATAGGTTGCATATTTAAGTTAAGTTTTTTTTTGATAGAGCTCCGATAGTTTATTTTAAAATTTTTTTTGTTACATCTCATTTATATTTAATCATAATTAAATATTAAATTAGTCATAAAAATATATTATTATATAATTAATTTCTTACACATTTTTTTACCTACAGTTTTAATAGCCAAGAGCCAAAACCCAGCCTTGGGGGCTCTGTAGCAAAACTAACCAAGGCAGAACAGGATAGAATTGCAGGTGTGTAGTCACTAATTTTTAAATTTTGAAAACCAAATTATATTTATTCTCTATACTAATAGTCGTATGTTTAATTATGAAAATTGATATCGTAGGATTGGATGGAGTGGTGGCTATCTTTCCTGTTAAAAAGAGAACTATCCTTGCAATAAAATCCTGGGATTTTATTGGTCTTCTAATGAACGTGAAAAGAGACCCCACCTAACATTTCCAATGATCTTATGACTACGACGTGATCATTGGAAAAATAGATTCTGGAATTTGGCCAGAATTTGAGAGTTTTAATGATAAAGTCTTTTGTCCACCACCTAACAAATGGAAGGGAGTTTGTGAAACCATTAACTTCCCATGCAACAAGTAAGATCCTAGCATTAATCAAAAACTTAAATATATCTAAATAGTCATTTTAAATGTTTAATTAAATTTTTCCTATTTGTTTGATGTTATAGCCGGACTTAATTGCTCTTGGAATTATGGAGTTGATATCATTGTTGGTTGTACATAAAGAACTAGCATTTAACACACTATACCAAAAAAGACCTTTAGCAGCGGTTAAAAATGCTGCCAAAAGTGGCGCTGCTAAAGGTAAAGGCAGCGCTTTTTTTAAAGAAAAAGCGCTGCTAAAGGATCCCTTCAGCAACGCTTTTAGAAGCGCTTTTTTCATCCTATAGCAGCGCTTTAAAAGCGCTGCCTATTCCCCATTCCCCTCCCTTCAGTAACGCTTTTAGCAGCGCTTTTTCAACCCTATAGCAGCGCTTTTCCCTCCCCCCTTTAGCAGCGCTTTTAAAAGCACTGTCTTAGACCCCCTTTAGCAGCACTTTAAAGCACTTTCATAGACCCCCCCCCCCCCTTTTCCAACCTATAGCAACGCTTTTTTGGCCTCTCTTTGCACCCTTTAGCAGCGCTATTTTTAAAAGCGTTGTCTATTCTTTACGATTTTAAAATTTTTTTTTTAAATAATCACATTTTTTATATATTTTTCGATAAACCTGCTTATAACAATTACATTCCCTGCTTATAATTCAGTCCTTTAATTCAACAGTTTGACCTTATATATAACAATTACTTTGGCCTTATTTATGTGTATTCATCACTTTGCCCATAACCATTTTAATACACATAAACCTGCTTAAATATATTACAACATCACAAAATACATTCAATCCTCCAATTATCACAAATACATTCAATTTACATATAATTACAAATCCGGTAACTTTACAAATAGATACGTTATACAATTCTCAACTCAAGAATAAATTGACACAAGTCCTCCTTAATTTCTTTCAATCTTGCTTTCGAGTAAGTACCACACTTGTATTCATCAAAGTACTACATAATATAACAGAACATGCACGATTTAATTTTAAAAATAATTACTCAGATGAAATATTGGTTAATTATCAAAATGAATCATATAACTTATAAATTGATCCATACCAGGATTGGATTCTCTATTTGACCTGAAAGAATAATTTCCTTCATAAAGCACAATACAAAATATCCGCAGTCAATCCCATTGCGCTGACGAGGACACTGTAAATGGAAAAAACAAACGAACATTTATCAGTATATATAGTTTAAATAGTTTTATCAAGTAGAATCACTATAACAGTCAAACATGGGAAAATATACCTCCACTCTGATCCAGCTGATGTTGTTAGCCTTCCTTTTTGGCACTGTTGCATCTCTTTGTGCTCTGAATATTTGTATAACTCTAACATAATATAAACGCATATTTAGAACAATGTCACATAATAAATAAAGATATATAACTATTCAGAACAGTATATCTCATCACTTACGTATCAACCATGTTCTTCAGATCATGATATTTTGTTGTATCGCCATCCAATGAATCTATCTAATACATTATATCTTTCATTGGATTAATCGCGAGCAACAACCAGTGTCCACTATAAAATAAGACAACAGTTTAGACGGAAATGTTATATAGATTAATGGCAAAAATAGAATAATTATAATAAATGAATTTAGAATTAAATACAACCCGTGGCCAGTATTATATGGCAACAAGAACAACTTCTCTGTAGTTGCGGCCATAAATCTTTGGACCATGTAATCTTTGACAGTATATGGTGTGTGCTCTATTGCCCGTGCGTTGATACAGCTAGCAGATAAGAATGTGAATATGGAAGTCAAATCATGCGGGACCAACAACTTGTCATACAGGAGCCTAAAAGAAAAACATAATCAACATTAGAATCATTATAATTATAGGCCAGGTGGAATCTGAGATACTCTGCAGACCATGCAGATTCATTCCATCAGTCGATAATGCCAAGCGAAGGTTTCTAGCTTCTTCTCCAAACTCAGGATAATCATTATCAATTTTCATCCACTGTGGTGAATCTGCCGGATGTCGATACTTCCCATCTATAATTCTATCATCTGCATGCCAAGTCAGGTGTTTTTCATCTGTTTCACTATGAAACATGCGTCTAAATCTCGGAATTATAGGAAAATACCATAAAACTTTTGCTGGTGACAACTTTTTCTTATACCGAGATACACCGCATTTAGGACACTCGTTTAATGATGCATATTCATTTCGAAACAAAATGCAATCATTTGGACAAGCATGTATCTTATCATAGCTCATGCCAATAGAGCATAACATTTTTTTAGCTTCATAGGTTCGACTAGAAAAAACATTATCCTCCGGAAGCATCTCTTGAAGTAGGGCTAACAACTCTGTGAAACTTTTATCCGACCATCCATTACGCGGCTTTAAGTTGTACAGCTTTAATACCGCAGACAATTTTGTGAAAGTAGTGCAACCTTTATACAACGGTTTCTCTGCATCGCTTACCAACCTCTCAAACATCTTGGGACAATCTTGAAAATCTTCTTCAAGTGCTTCTGCAATCTCTTCGACTCGATCACAATCATATGTATCTCTGCCATTGTCCTTTGAAGCATAGGTCATATTATCCCCGGGTTCGACATTCTC